TTAAAGATGGATCCCTGTATGCGGGAATATCGAATATCCAAGTCCTCACCCTATCCCTCCAACTCTTGTCTCCCCTCAGCCTGGCTGGTAGCGTCCTACGGAAGCAACACAGAGCTCGGGATGGGTACTTGGACCGATCATGGTGGCAGGAAAGGGTGAGACGGGCCGGACTGTCGAACGGGTTGCCGGCCGTTCCCCGCTTTTGACACCAAAGTAAGGTCCATCGTCCCCAAGGCATCCGTCGGACTGGATGCGGGAGGTCCGTGCCAGGTGGTTCAAGAATTAAAGGAGACGCGAAAGACAAGGGGAAAAACGTGCCCTCCGTGTTGCGGTATCACGCTTGTGTCGCGCGCGACTCGCTCGTTGAATCCATAAGTTGGACTGACTGAGCAAAGAGCGGCGCGTGTCGCGTGGTGAAGAAACATCCGAGAGGGCCATGGTCTTGATACCCGCAACGACATATCGAAATTGCGGCCGAAAGCAAGGATATATACTAGGTAAATGGAGAAACTTTGGATTACAGTGTTATACGGGCCACGGCCCGTGTCCAGGGCAACTGTTTACCTGCAGTCCTGCACAAGTCCGGCTCATTTCCAGGAAATGCGGACACCTTTATTCGCCTCACTTGATTTTATCGGGGGCGCGCCTTGGCCCAGGACTCGTGGTGGATTTTGCGGTTTGAAAATGATGATGATGATGGGATTGAACGCTCGCGAGTGGCGCATAAATTGTGCGGCAGTGGCTTACCGATGTGTTCCCCCTTCTCAAGTTCTCACACATATGTAAATCCGTACGGATTACAGGTGTAATACTTCGTATAATCATATCAGGAACGCCCCTGTCCTGACGGCGATCAGAGACAAGTCGCAATCTCGAGTCCTTGACAAGTTGTGGCCCCCGCCCGCTCCCAAAGCCCGGTTGTTCCTTGGACGTGACCCCCGTGCCCCCCAAATTTGGCCGGCGCGGGTTTGGTTTCACCATTCTTCGCATCCGTGGTGAAAGGGTGCAAACTGCCTGACTGTAAAGAGGTGTTCGTTCGGCCGGGTCGTTGGGATGATCGCGTTGGCCCAGCCCAGCGTCTCATTCCTGGGAAATTTCCTTGGGATGGGTATTCTCTAATCTTTCATGGGGGCGTGCCCGGGCGTCTTTAACACCCTTTACATCTTTCCTCACCATCGTCTCTACTTCATCTGAAACCGGCCGCATGGCACGATGGCACCCTTTTTGAGCTTGACGCGGGCGGTCTAACAACTCTACCTGCATTACCCCAAATCTCTTGATAACCAACATTATCTGCCCAAACACAACCGCCGCAATGGTGTACTCTCGTGCCGACTGGTTCTGTTTCCCCCTTGGAAGTTCGTGCTCGCTATCGGCAAGGTGACAGGTAGCTTGAATCCTTTACCATTTGCCGGAAGGAGGCCTGGGTAAGGACGCCCAGCACACGCACGAACATGTACAGATCTTTGTAGTGCGCTTACACAGCCGTGGACAAAGTCACAAACCGAAGGGTCCCAAGACCAACTCCCTCTCGTATCCGTATAAAATGGGGCTGACATGGCCAGGGGATTGACAGTCAGAATCCTCTTGGTTCATTTACCTTACCCGACTCCTTCTAGAAAAAAAAAAAAAGTCTATTCAAAGAACACGAGAAAGGGTTTCCCCTTGCTCTGTGATGCAGCTTTACGCGCACAAGAATGACAAGACCCCTCCAGTCTCCAGAGGCCAAGAGAAGAGCGCCCTGAGCAAATCATTTCGGCGTGGAAAGATGCCGCAGCCGGGGGCGAGGCGGCCGAAGCGCAAGGAAAGGAAGGGGAAATTTGAAGCAATCTTGAGATATTTCAAGTCGCCGGGGCGCCCCCATTAAGCTGAATATTGATAGTGGCTTGAAACGACCCTTACTCTCGGCCTGACCGGCTCTAGCGCCGTCTCCACGGCGAAGGAGAGGAGCCTCATCATTCATGCTGCAGAAGAAAGTTTAGTTGAGAGAAAAAAAGAAAATGGAGAGAGAGGAGGAAATCGCAGCTAGTGAAGCATCAGGAAAATCAATCGATGATCACGATTTGAGAACCTTACAGTAGGACCCTGGATAACCGGGTCTCAGAGGCAAGAAGACAGGCATGGCTTGGCCATGGGCGTGGGCGAACTGAGCATGCCAACGGAGCCATTCAGAGTTACTGGAAGATAACCCGCATCCATCGTCTTGGGCTTAGGTGACTCTGGGATGGCAGTGAACTTTGCAGAATGCGCGGCATCTACGGCGTCGGGCATCTGCGGCTACCGCAGTAGTGAAATCGGCGGTCGTGTGAAGGCCAAGGATAGGTAGAGTTCAGCGAGTGCGACTGTGCGACGACCAAGATACCTGGATAGCACATCACGCTATGAGACGTAAGTCCCGAGATGCCGGGAGCCACTACCTGCGATAGCCCACCGTAGCTGAGCAAGTATTGGAGATGACGGGATGGGCAGTACAGCTTGCACTATGCCGAATGGTAAACTTGGTAAGCGTTGACGTGCTGAAGTTGCACCGCCATTCTGCTGCGTACGCAGCCGCCGTCGACATACCGGGAGCGTAGCAACAGCATCCCAGGTTGCTGGTCACTGGTTGCGCGCGGCGGGCTCTGGTGGATGCAGAACCCATTTTCTCGTGTGGATTCAGGCGTGTTGGAACTTGGAAGTGGTACATGGTCGGAGACGGGGCGCCGCAAGCTGCATCTGCCATCGCCGGCCTCACGGCATGTAACTGAGGCGAGGAGGCACAGCAACAGGGTGGCACTGGAGGACTGGTACGCAGCCAGGCCAGCGAGTGAGGGGAGGAGGAGGAGTGCCGAGGAGTGCCGTACGGATGCGCCATGCGTGCCGTGATTCCATGGTAAAAAAAAATAATAAAAAAAATGCATGAGAGTGACGAGATGCACGCAGTTTCCGGTGGCCTCGCAAGCTCGTCAGTCGAATTCTGGTGGTACCGGCAAGGTGCAGTCGCCGAAGACGCCAGAGAAAGGTAGCTAGGTATGGGCCGTATAGCCCACCCCTCCCCTTGGCAAGCTGGGAGCTACGGAGGAGCCAGAGCCACAGACCCATGGCACCATGATCCACGTAAAACGTGCATAATGGAGTGGGTAAGAGTGGGCTTTGGCGTATGTTTCGCTGCTCGCGCGTGGATATTCGTGGATATGTTGGAGCGGCCCTCTGGCCTGTGAAGGCTCGTTTCTCGATCTTTCGCTCAGATTCTCCTCTTCGTCTAGTGTTTTGTTTTGTGCGTTCTGTCTGTACATCAAACAGCGGCTGAGTGAGCTCCATCAACTTTGTTTTCAGCTGCCAGGAGTGGGCAGAACAACGTACCCATGTCGAGGCGGAGGAGAACTGTGAACAAGACACAGACGATGGTAGTAGACTGTGGTGACTGTGTATTTGCGGGTAGGTATTGGAAGAAATGCATAGAAGATTGTACAGAGTAAGGATACACATATTCTCGGTACCTTCCTTGTAAGTTGCAGGGGGAAAAGGGCCGCACACAGCAGAAACCCCACTGCAGGGCCAAGGCTTCCCGCTACGAGAAACGCCCTCTCATTGGTGACGTGCCCTTGCTCTTGCCTGCCTCTCTTGGTGTGTCTTTCCCTCTCTCTTTCCCATCGCCTTTTTTTTTTTCTTGCAATGGCAGCGCCAGCAACAGAGAAACCCCGCGCCTGTCTCATTGGGCGACGCTTCCGGGGGGCCAAAAACAGGATGTGCATCGATAACATCATAGCTGCATCAAGCTTCCATTCGCTGTCTTTCGCCTTTCCCCTATGGATACACGTACATTGGCACTCAGCACTGGCCTCTCCTACCTTACTCTCTCGGTCACTCTCTCTTTCATGACTATGAGGCTATGAGGTGTACCTTACTCCGTAGACTCATCTCTTCCTCTCGCGTCTCCAAACCTCCTAGTTGAATGAACAAGTACCACATTGTATCCATGCACCCCCCCCCCTCCCACCCTCCATGCTCCCCCAATTCCGCTTCCTCTTGTTCGCTGTGTGTCTCTCTTGCGCAGCGTGCCGTGAACACCATCTTCCCTGGTCTCTGAGGTCGTGTTTCTTCTCCAACATCTTATCCCAAATCCATCATTCCCATACCTGCCTCACAAACCCGGCGCTACCTATCCTCACCACTCACTCACCTCACTCACACTCGCCTTGAATCCGGCCAATGTACACATGCTTACTCGCCCGACTCTTCATATCTCATCCCATCTTATCCTTCCCTTGCCCAACCGAGTCCCTGATCTGACCGCACCTTGCCCGACTCGTGCTGCCTTGTCTCTCCCAGTGGCCAGGGTCAGGTCCTCTTCTTCCAAGACTCGGGACATCCATCCGCATCCACTCACCCTAATCGTCCGAATTTCACCCCTCGCTCGTTGCTACCACGCTATCCGCAAGACCGTAAGGATACCTAGCCTACCAAGTACCGCCGCTGCCTCCAGTCTTCCCTTACCTTTCCCAGCAAGGTTCCTGGTTCTTGCCGGAGGCTTGCTGCACTCCGGTCCTTTCTTCAAACAGCTATTCCCTGCTCCCAGAACCTACACGCACCTCTCCCTCTCTGACCAGAGGATAAGGACCGTCACTTATTAACACCCCTCCGCCGTCCACTTTCATGTGCACACACTTTTTGATCCCCTCATCTTCTGATACCTACTCCTACCTTCTGACAACCTCGTTTTCTCTACTATCTCGAACCCTCCAATCTTCGCTTCGTTAGCTCGACGACGGAGATACATCGCCCTCTATTGTCCCGCTCAACTCATTCCTCTCTCACCTCCTTCCCACCGAGTGTAAACAGCGCAATCGCCATAGTATTGAACCCATCTCGACGACTTGCCTTTGGATAACGTTACATGGCCCAATAATCGATTACTCGACCTTGACGGCCTCGAAGGCCCGATTTGGCCGAGGCATTCCCACGACGACGGAATAGGCTGGGCTTGGACCCCCGATTACTGCACGTCAAATCTGTCGACCATGGACGCTGCTGCGAACCGACGGTCAATGCTGCCCACCATTCAGACAACACATCATGGAGAGCCGCACACCGCAACTAAAAGCTCCGCCGCAGAGCTTCGGAGTGTCTCGACACCAGCGCTGGGTGGCAAGAGGCGTAGTTTCTTAGCAAAGACCTTCCGGAAGGTCAGCAGCAGTTCCTCCTCAACCGACCTTGCGTCCATGTCTGAGGAGGCCTCGAGCGGCCTCCAAATGAAGAGTAAACGCGTTCTTCACAAGAACAACGGATCCGGCGGCTCAAATTCGTCCTCTATTTTCTACCGCCTCAACCGACGAGCCTCCAAGGACTCTTCCGCGAGTTCGCACATGTCCGAGGAGACTCCCAACTATCTCAGCCCTCAGCCGCCAGCGCCGGTTCCTATCAAGATTCTCAAGCACGGAGCCTTGAAGACTGACAGCCGCCTGTGGAAATCGCGCGCCGAGTATGTTGTCTTAACTGATGGGCACCTCATCAAATTCAGCAGTGTCGAGTCAGCAAGGGCGAACTTTGCTGAGCTTGCCCCGCCGTCTCAGCGCCTGAAGAGGTCTTCGACGTCTTCCACTTTGAGTCAGGATGGGTCACACTCTGATGGTCGGGTCGAAATTCCATTGAGTAGGATCGTCAACATTTTCAACGAAGAGGGTGTAAGCCCTCACTTTGGATTGGATGTTTGGTGGTCCGAGACTTCGCCAATGGTATCTTGGGCTTGCACAAAGTTGTTCTTTGGAATGCCTACTGAGCGAGACGAGTGGATGTCGGAGATTCGCCATGCTATTCGTGAGTCTGTGGGCTCAGCTGTTGTGCCAAAGGGGCTCATTGCTCCCAACGTCGAGTCCGCCATTTACAACATTGTTGCTACACAAGAGCCCGCGTGCCGAGGCTGCCCATTGGATATCTTTCCAGTCGTTCAACGCACCACCCTCCTCAGTACCAAAGCCGAGAACATTGAAAATGCCAAAAAGTCTCGTGACGGATCATCGTATTACTTGCTTCTCGGCCAGAACAAGTGCTATCTTGTGCGAGTCGCCAGGACTTCCGTATACAAAGCTCCCCAGGACATCGAAATCAACACCGTAGTTTTTGGCTTGACGTCCCTGGTCCGCTTGAAAGCGACTATGGTCCCTCACGAGGAGCGGTTCGTTCTTGGATTCCGGTATGTGTCTGGTGTATTTTGTGGGCTGCCACCAGTGTTACTAACCCCTATTCAAGACTCCCTTGTGAAAACGAGAAACGACTCGAGCTGGCTAGTCGATGGTACAGAGAGATCGTCATGACGTTCATGAAGGCAGATCGCGCAGTGAAGCCTGCTTGGCCTCAGCACATGCAACGGCACATTTTCGACATTAGGGGTCTCACCGCTCAGTTGCTCCTTCCAACTGGACAAGACTATGGTGGACTTAAGCGCACCCTCGAGGCGTATTGTGCGACGTTCCAGTGCAAGCCTCCCGAATGGACTGTGAATTGGAAATGCGAACGCCGGGAGCACTGCCCAGAATTTCGACTTCTCCCTGCGAAGGAAGCAGGTGGATACACGGCACTCCAGCTTTTGGCAGTCTTCAAGGCCCTCCGCTTCAATGACTACTTCAAGGCTCTGTCGTTCCGTGACGTCGATTTCTCGCCCCTTTGCGGGCTGACCGATGTTCCGGGATGGGACGAGTCCATAGCTGACATTTCTCGCGATGGTAAGCCGGCAATTCCTGAACCTTATCAAGCATTCAAGCTAACCGTGGCAGGATTTGTCATCGATCCCATGCATCGAGACATCATCAGGACTGCCCCACTGTTATCCCAGGAAATTCACGCCGTTGCCTTCACCTCTGGTTCTGTCCGTAAGATAGACTTGACCAACGTTCTGGCATCGCGGAACATTGTTGGTGTCTCACGCGCTCGTGCCGGGACCAAGAAGGATCCCGAGGTCGTTCGTCCTATCCTTCTTCTGCTCAAAACCCGCAGCACTCCTTGTGATACTTTGCTGGTTGGTGGGAACCCACTGACGGCAGCTGAAGTTGACGACCTTGGTGAGTGGACTACATGGGTTCTCACAACTCAATTGGCTAATGATTTTACAGTGGGCGTTCTCCATATTCCCGATCTTCTCAAGGAGCTCGACATTTCTAGATGCAACCTTGACGAGAGAAGCTTGGAGGAAGTCTGGGACGCTTTACCCTCCCAGGGATACAAGATGGAGGCTCTCAATACTTCTCGCAATATTGGACACGTGGATCACATGGCCGTGAAGCAGAACCTGGCTCATTTCTATAATTTGCGAAAACTCGGCATCGCAGGAAATTGCCTCACTCAGGCTAAGGATACCATCTTCCTCGACGAGACTATCATGGGATGGGGACTTGAGGAGCTGGATCTCTCACACATCAACGTAAGTCAAGTGAACCTTGTTTTCATGCATTTGCTGATTCTGCTCTAGCTCAATGACGCCACATTGCAAGTCCTGGGCGACTACTTGAAGTCTTCACAGGCCGACTATCTCCGCAGGCTTGACCTCAATAATTGTGCAATGACCGGTTCCCAAATCGCAACTCTCTTCCGCAGCATGGGTGAAGCAAGAGTGATTACTTGCTCTATCAGTGGCAACTATCTCGAGAACGGCACGGATGATCTGGTATCTGCCATTGTTGACAATTTCGGACCGACGTCCCTCTTCATGGATATGGTTGAATTTCAAAACGAAGACAACTACATCAAGCTCATTAACGCGCTCTCAGTCAACAAATCGATCCGACTGCTTAGCCTGGTGGGAACTTCAACCCCTGGACAAGTCAGCGAGGACGCCTGCATGGCCGTGTCAGAGTTCTTTGCCACGAACAAATCGGTCCAGTACCTCGACTTCTCCGGCTTTTCCGCCAAGCTCGACGAGGGTCAACTCGGCCTGGGCTTCTCGCGCTCTCTCTCTGGACTCGCCGAGAACAAGACGCTGCGTCACCTGCGAATCCGAAACCAAAAGTTGAACTTGAACATTGGTGATCTGGCACATGCGATCCAACTCAACCAAACCCTTACGACACTCGACGTACAGGAGAATAACTTCAATCTGTCCAACTTATCCCACATGGTTAGATCTCTTGACCACAATAGCTCTATCCAGGAGTTTTGCCCGTTCTCTCGGTCTGAGCTCAGCCGGGCTATCAAGTTCAGCGTCCAGAACGTCGGCATGCCAACGAGCCAGCCGACTTCGTCTCGAGCCCGCCGCGCGTCCAAGGTCCTTTCAAAGGCCACTTTTGACAACTTTGCAATGGAAATGGACAAGAACAATGCTCTCATGGAGAACTTGAAGGACGAGTGGAGCGTCAAGACGGCTCAGATTGAACGTCTTCTCGAGAGAAATCGGACCTTGAGTTCTGAAAAGGAGATGGCGATTATGCAGTGGGATCCTCAAGTGGAAGGCCAGGAGGATTGGATCGCCCTTGAGCTCGGCACTGTCTTCGGAGGCCTTGCCATCAAGGCAATGAAGACCCGACGCAAGATTATGCAGCCTGGCTATCGCGGCAGCGTATACTTTGGCGCAAATACTCCGCCTCTGGAGGGGATGGAAGAGTTTGGTGCCTCGGCAGCTCCTCACCATGTCACTCGCGAGGAAGTCATGGAAAGCCCCGCGACAGAGGTTGCCAGCGGTTCCTCCGGTCTTCCGACCCCTCCCGAATGGGCTCCTGCTGAGAGCCCCGTCAAGGAGTATTCAATTGCGTCCAGCGCACCACCGTCTCGCGATGCACCTCGCATCATTGATGAGAACGCTAATGAGTTCGATCTTTCTCTTCTCAAACACATGATACAACATGGATTCAACCTCGACGATTCGACGCAAGGCCAGGACCAGGACGTCGGCAGGAAAGCGGGGCCCTCAGTGTCGACCACGAGACTTAGATGAATCAAACACACAATCGAAACGAAGAACAAAAACATTAAAAAAGAAGGAACGAAAGAAAAGCGAAACGAAAAAAACACGAAAGACACCAACTCATGTGTCCCACATACAATCTCCCACGTTTACCAAATCATTAGACATTAGCGACGGCAACATCATTTTTTGTGTTTTCTTGTTTAACAAGGCGTTTATAAAAGGGAGGAACGGGTGTTTTGTTTTTTTGGAATACCGCGCGGGATTGATACCCAGACTCGCAGCAATGCTCTAGTATTAGTGTTGGATTCTATCCCGTGCCATGGGCACGGTTGGCTTACAGTTTCGGCGTTGGAGGTTCCTCGCTCAGCATACTTACTTTGTTTTGGATTATGCCCAATGTAGGAATACTATCAGAGGATGGAGCATGCTTTGGTTGGAGGGTAGTCAGTTTCTCACCGATAATACATAATTGTGAGATTATTCAACATGGCTCGACCATGTCCGCTTCATAGTGAGAGTAACAGTAGTTCCGCGTCTTGCATTGATGATGTCTCCGTACATGACACGCATCGCCAACCCCGGATTTCGGGCCGCTGCATGCGGAACCCACCCGGATCCGGATGTTGCTGGCCATTGGCCGGCGTTGCGGGGGAGAGGAGGGCCGCATGTTCGGATCAGGTGGAATGGTGTCTGGACTCAGTAAGGGCGCAGCGACACCTTACTCTGTACCCGTAGAGGCTGAGATGTTTCACTTGAGCAGTACCCATCAAGACTTGCTGCAATCCCTGCATATACGCTACGCGCAGGCGGCTTGTATTTGCCGATGCGTTGGGACCACTGGCTGCCATCTCCTTGTTTGCGCGGACCGACGTGTCGAAACTCTGATGCTGCAGATGCGGGGAGGGGGGCAAAGGCTGCAAGACACGAGGAGTGAGAATGTTGTATGGGGTAGAAGCTGTGGCTGTTTGGGCGGTTCGCCTGCTTGGCATAGGAACGATGTTAGTAGTCCTGCTCTGTAAGTCTGTAATAGGATGGAATGTGGCAGAGCACACTGTAGAAGTTCCATGGACGCCTCTGAACAATGAATGGACTTGGACGGCACACACCTGACAAGCTTCGATGCGTTTAACGAGGACCGAGCGTACGTTTAAGCGAATGGAAGTGAGAAGCGAGGTTGGGCTCACTACCTTGCCGACTCGAACCGAGATACCTTGCACTTATTAGCCTTTCTGTTGAAGAACTTGCAGCCTCAATTGACAAGAATCTATCCTCCCTATAAGAATTCCCAAACAGACCAATTGTTGGAAGCTCTGGCCCAGATTCGGTTTTTGGACACAATGGTCCTGCGAAGCGTGAGGATGCTGGAGAAAGGCGCTCCGCTAAGGACATATGCACCTAATAACTGTACGCAGTTCCAGTCCATGCGGCATCACGTAATGTTCTGCAATAGGAGACCCACTTGGAGCCCAAGCCACATTTGGACACTGATAGATCCCTGTTTCGCTCTGCTGCCAGGCTTGCCAGGTTCCAACTGGGCAAACCAACCACTTCACCTTACTGGCCCCCCCGTTCAAGCCGCCGCACCTTCCTACTGAAACCTCCGTGTCAAGCTGGACACTTGTGAGCGCTTCGTCATCCAGCGTTGCCATCAACTCCGGCCACCACTGACTTTCTACTTTTCCCTATCCTCGCCACCTCCGCGACCTCTTGCTTTTGCAACTGTCACAAGAGGAATTGGCAAAGAGCTCTTTCAACCAACCTTGATCGACGGAGATCCTCCGCTCGTGACGTTCGTCTCACCCGATTCCCAATCCCCTTATCGTCCGAGTCTCCTAACCGTTCCATCAGGAGTTCCTCCATCTCTGTCCTTTTCTTTTCGAAGCCCGACATTCTCGTCGGCACCAATCACCCCGCCCATCATGTACTCGAACTCGAATGCCTTCCTGGGCGGCAATAGCCAACGGCCCGGCGCGCAGCAATATGGTGGAAGCTCTTTCGGCCAGCAGCCGGGCCAGCAGCAGCAGCCGGGTCCTTTTGCTCCTCAGTCCACAGGCTTCGGCCAGGCACCGTTGCAACAGCAGTTCACCGGCTACCCGGGGATGCAACAGCAACCGCAGCAGCAAGCTCCTCAACAGCTCCAGCCCCAGTTCACCGGCTTCCCCGGCCAGCCGCAGCCGCAGCAGAGCTTCCAGACCGGCGCTCCCCCGATGCCGTCGATCCCCTCGCAGTACCAGTCGCAGTTCCAGCAGCAGCAGCAGCAGCAGCAGCCTCAGCAGACTGGATTCCCAGGTCAGCAACAGCAACAGCAGCCTCAGCCCACTGGGTTTGCTCAGCAGCAGCAGCCTCAACAGACCGGATTCCCAGGCCAGCTGCAAGCCCAGCAGACTGGTTTCCCGCAAGCCCAGCAACCTCAACCTACTGGCTTCCAGAGCCAGCAGCAGACGGCTGCCCCGACTCCTATCAAGCCCCAAGCCACGGGCTTTAGCCAGATGGCTGCTTCTTTCCGAACCGGGGGCACGCCGAAGCCAGCTGGTCGACGCCCTAAGTCTGCCAACAAGATTCCAAACATTCGACTATCGTTCATCACAGCTCCGGATCAGTCCAAGTTTGAGACTCTCTTCAAGTCTGCGGTTGGTGAAGGCCAGGCAACGACAATGTCCGGAGACAAGGCGAGAGACCTGCTGATGCGATCACGCTTGGACGGTGACTCGCTCTCACACATTTGGTCAGTGCCTTTCTAGCTTGCTCTTTGTAGTAAGTTGTGCTTACGGAGTATATGCAGGACTCTTGCCGACACGACACGATCTGGAGAGCTTCACTTCCCCGAATTCGCCCTCGCAATGTACTTGTGCAACCTGAAGCTCACTGGAAAGTCCATACCCTCGACATTGCCCGAGAACATCAAGAATGAGGTGTCCAGCGTCGTGGACATTATCAACTTCAGCATTGCGGAGGACGCCGGCCGAGATACACCTGGCAGCACTGCTACCGGCAGGTCGAGCACCGAGCCCACGATTCATCAGCCTCAGCCTCAAACTTCCAACTCCCAGCTTCTGCAGGCACAGATGACCGGTTTCCCCGGGCAGCAAGCTCAGGGCTTCGGGCAGACACAAGGGCTGCAACCTCAGCAGACTGGGTTCCCCAACCTTAATGCGCAGCCGACCGGAATGAACCCGCAACCCACGGGATACAACGGGCCACGACCACCCATGCCACCCATGCCCACCGGGTATGGCAATAGCCTCACGCCGGGCGGAGGTCCAATGGCTGCGCCTCTGAACGCGCAGCCTACCGGCCGCCCCGGCCAATGGGGTCTTGTCAACGCCCCTTCCACGGGCCTGCCCAACATCGATGCTCTTCAGGCTAGAATGATGCCTCAGCAAGGCCGGGAGCAGGGAAGCTTCACTACGCAGGGTCTGCAGGGTAATGCCGTCATTCCTTGGGCTATCACCAAGGAGGAGAAGCAACGCTACGACGCACTCTTCAAGGCATGGGATGGACTTCACAAGGGCTTCATCGGCGGAGACGTCGCCATTGAAATCTTTGGACAGAGTGGTCTCGAGAAGCCGGACCTCGAGCGTGTCTGGACCCTTGCTGACAATGGTAACAAGGGTCGCCTGAACCTGGACGAATTCGCAGTTGCTATGCATTTGATTTACAGGAAGCTCAATGGATATCCCTTGCCTAACCAGCTGCCGCCTGAGCTTGTTCCTCCCTCGACGAGAAACTTCAATGAGTCTATCGGCACCATCCGATCAATGTTGAGCCAGGAGTCAGAGTTCCGTTCCAAGTCTGGTGCAGCTCTGCTTCCTCAGAAGACTGGTGTCAGCTACATGAAGACTCACTCATTGAGAGGCACCCCTGGCGGCCAGAGCACTGGGCGTAAGGATGCCACAGTTTTCAAGAACAACGATGAACAGGTCGGATATAGGTCTAGTGCTCGTCGCCGTGTTGGCAATAACTCGCCCCGCCCCGAGTCGCCATCCTCTACCGCATACGATGACCTTGGACTTGATCAATTGAAAAAGAAGATCCGAGAGAAGGAAGTCCTTCTCGACGCCATGGATTTTGCTGATGAGAAGAACTTGGAGGAGGACGACTTGCTCGACAGACGTGACCGTCGGGAGGCCGAGGAGCTGTACCGCCGCATTCGCCGCATCCAGGACGACATTGATGCGAACCCGGATGCTGCACTTTCGTCGGGAGACTCGGAAGCCGAGAGACGATCTTTGAAGCGACAGCTCCAGAATCTCACAGACAAGGTCCCTGAACTGGCCTCTGCCGTCCGCAAGACCGAAAAGGCTATTGCAGAAGCAAGACTCGAGCTCTTCAGGCTCAAGGATGCAAAGGCTCACCCGAACAGTGCCGCTGCTATTGTCGGAACTGGTCCTGGCGGTGCCGTAACAGAGTCTGACAGACTGAAGGCTCGGGCCAAGGCTATGATGCAGCAACGTACTGCAGCCTTGACGGGTAAGAAGGTTGAGTCGAGCTTCGACGACGAAGGCCCCAAGCGCCTTGAGGAAGAGAACCATAAAATCAAGACCGAGAAGGAGAACAACGAGAGCATGGTCAGAGACGTGGAAGATTCTGTGCGTGACTTTGCTCGCGGTATTGAAGACAACTTGAAAGAAGGCACCACGACGGTCTCCAACGAACACGAGAAGCGACGCTGGGAGGATGCTCTGGGCGTCGAGGATGAAGTCAGAGATTTCATCTTTGATCTTCAGCGATCTAGCCGCGCTGCGCGTGTTCGGGCACAGGACCGTCGTCCTACTTCCTCGTCTTCGCCTTCGGCTGCTCGTGCATCCTCAAGAGAGCCTGCTGCGGCCAGCCCCGCCGCCCGCCTCGAGAGCCCTGCGCCTCCCTCGCGCACCACTACTCCCGGAGGCTCGTACTCTTCTTACAAGACCCCCGAGGAGCGTGCTGCTTTCATCAAGCAGCAGGCTGAGCAGCGTATGGCTGAGCGACTTGCTGCCCTGGGTATTAAGGCTCCTACTAAGCCTGGTGAGACGGCTGCCCAGAGAATG